CTCCGTTACATACTTATAAAAAGACGATATTAACTTTAATCGGTAACTAAACTCATAGTCACTAAAAAGAAATCAGGTTCAAATCCCTACTTTAGAAGCCTTCCAATTTGCCTTTTGAGAAAAGGAGCTGGATGATTAAGAAAAAATATCCTGCAAGCACATCTGAAATGAAAACACTCTCCCAACAAGTTTACGGAAAATAAATCATTTTGCATCAAGTTCGATCACAGTAGTAGGCTTAGAAAAGAATTCTTCCAAACTACATCACAGAGATCCCGGTACCACACCCTTTTGCGAAGGAGAGAGCGGAGATTCCGATATAAAGTTATGTCGGCTTTTTCTCTCCGAGTTCATTTCATTAGTGAATAAAAAGTCCACTCAGTGCACGAAAGCCAATAACTGACCTATATGTTTAGTATAAATTATACAAGTCACCAGTAGCTCTAAATTCGAGGTATGGTGAGGTCCGGGTGTATGTTACTGCATGCTTTTTTATTTATATTTGGAAACAAAGCCATGTTCGCAGTGTTGTAGGTAGCGCCGAATTTCGGAAACTGTACCGTCAGTCTTCATTAAGAAGAAACTTGATGTGAGGAATTTAAGATTTCTGTTGTTTTGTAATCGGGCAAACAATCGGCTACGGCTGCTTGATTGCATGCGGTCAAGTTTGATGCCAAAAGACGAGACATGCCCCACGTGAATTGTTTGAGGTGATTGGGAATGCAAATACGATTATAATCTCGTAAACATAGTTTCAACACCGAGCTTGATTGTACCTCTAATTGTTTGCTCCTGTATTTTGCATTTTCAGGCATTAACCCCGAAGATAAACTGTTAAGACAGACAACTACAGCATCGACACCGAGGGAAAAGAACTCTGCTGAATTAACGGCAGAAGCTGAAGTACGGAACGCCGAACAAACTTCTACAGAAAAGGGGAGAGTTGCGGAAATAATTGGGGTCACTTTAGGTTTTGCTGTGATCATTGTTGTTATGTCTGTCGCGTTTATTATCATGTAATGAACGTTTTTTTGCAAGGAACAGTTGTTAAATGTAACAGTCTTTTACGGTCAGTCAGTAATAAATAAAACATTAATGTATGCAATAATCTGATGATAAAGACAATGACTATCTCGAAGCGGTACCCCATAACTATCTGTATGCAATAAAGACATAACACAAAATTGCACGTTTCCGTTATTATAATCTGTTAATTAGGTCAGAACAGAACGTGAAAATTAAATACTGTACAGAAAAGTTTATTAAACACGTTACGTACGATATTATTATAATTATTTTTCAGGGTGCTCTTCAAAAAGGAGGAGTTGAAAGACAGTTACAAGTTTACTTTAATTTTGATCATGCTTCTCAGATTTTTCAGATGCCCCATAAACGGTCTGTACTTGCGGTCTACTTGGTGTAGAGCCTAGATAAATATCTAACATCTACATCATAATCATCAAAGTTAAAAAAAAAATTGAAGATACTTAACAGTTAATCCAGCAAAACTGATTATACTCTTTAACGCCCACGTATATTCTTTTTCATCATTTATAACTTTTAACATGGGCTGCAAAAAAGTATTAAAGGCAATGGACAACTAGAAAACAATGTTCATACACCTCAACATCAGGGAGTCCCCCCCCCTCCCCCTTCAAATTTTACTGTCCTTTAATAGAGCCTTTCTTCACAGGGTAGCCTTTGGGCCATTGAGGGGCTCTGAAACAACTGGTCTCAGATGACTGGTTAAGAAATACATAAACAGTGGTTGTAGCACAGCAATAAATAGCAGAAGGTATATTCTTCTTTTGCTTGCTCTGGCGATCCCATCTGGGGCAGACTCAGGTACGATAATTAATCGCAAGGTGCGAACCTATAAAGAATCATTGACAAAGACAATCAGTATCAGGAAATATGTCCAAACTAGGGTTTAGAGGCAGGGTGGCAGAGAGGGTAGAGTACTGGACTTGCAATTCAGAAGTTCCGAGCTCAATCCTACCCTGAACACTAGCTGGATTAGTTCTTGGTAATATTACAAGTTTAACTCCTCGGCCATACTTGTAAATAGCCAACTGGTTTGCCTCCGGCCAGTTGGGATTCTTAACCCTGTTAAGTTTGATTTGAATTTTTAAAAGCTTACAATGTCAAGCCAAGATTTATGTATGTACCTGTAGCACAGCAGTTAGCAAATAAGCCAGGTATTTAACATGACATACCATGAAAAATCCAATGCTGACACTCATCCACAACAGAATGAGGTAATATCCAGCTGAGTGAAACACAAGTCCACCAAGACAGCTTACAATCATGCTAAAGAGAACAAAATACACAAATTCCTTCAGGAACTGTTAGGGACTTTACAATCAGACGAGTTGATAGCAGTGAAAACCAATTGCTTAAAAAGTGAATTTACGTTCTCACAGTCTTAATCGTGATTAAAACCTACAACCACCTCCCCCTGCTCCCTCCTCCCCCACCCCCCCCCTCCGCTCTCAACTGA